GGCTGCGTTCCACTTAACGCTCACAACGCTCGTGGAATCATTTCATCCTTATCGTTTATCAAATGTTAAACAAGGACAAACGATGCTCGCGAACGTTGCGAGCGTTAAGTGGAACGCAGCCTAAGTCCTTGCTAGAAAGCAAGCACGGTTCGATGTTATGAAACTGGCCAACCATAGCTACTTCTCAGAAGAATGGAATGACTGTGATTGGCCAGTTTCCTAACATCGATGTTATAACTTCGGCGTAAATCAAGCCGTGTAAACGTAGTCTGTGTGAATTGTACAGTTAGTTTAGTGTTTCTTAAGGTAAATTTTCAGGAGCTGTTCAAACCGGCTGTTTCAGCGACAAAAAGGATCACGTGATTAAAATGAACGCTTGATATTCGTCAATTTTGACCATGTGATCCTTTTTGTCGCTGAAATAGCCTGTTTAAGCATTTTGTTTAAGCAGCTCGTGAAAATTTACCTTTACACATTCGTACATTATACAGATGTGTAAGGCCAACATTACATGCGTCCGTTTTTTGTCGTACGACAGATTTTTCAAGAGTGTTAATTGGCTGCAAGACAGAGAGGATCTCGGACCTCTTTGTCCTATACCGAATCGACAGGCTTGAAAAATTTGTACGACAAAAACGGACGCTGCTAGACGACGGTGCTGCGTGGTGCTGCGCATGCGCGTTGCGAACATTAGGATCTCTCTACCTTTCTCTCTCGCACAGATGTTGGCTTCACTTCGATATATGGGCCGGCATAGGCAATTCTTCTTCCAGTAATATGTGTTCTAAGGTATATACTACGCAGTACGCGCGGAACGACTCGTTCGGCTGCTTGCCAGTTTTAGTAACTTTACTTCCGGCTCGGATGGCGCGACGGAAATGATGACGCGGCGACCTTCCTCGTAAACATGGCGCGCGGGGTGGCGCGCGATATAAACAAATGGAACGCCGAGCGCAAACCGCCGTTCGTTGCCAATTTACTTATACAATTAATCTACACCGAATATTTCGTTCCTTATATTTCGAACGGATTATTATCGCATAAGTACGAATTGTTTTATGAATTCGCTTTTTATGTGCCGCCTAAGATAGTAATTATATTCGCTTGAGAGCGTTTGTAAAAAAATATGAATTATCATTAAAATGCATATAATGTAAAATATTTATACAATATAAATAAATTTCACATATAAATTAATTTTAGTGCTTTTTTAAAATAAAATTTTGAACGATTACTCGAGTTTTTGTTCTAAAAGGAATTGTTAAAATTATGAAAAATTAATGTGCGTAATTAAAAAATAAAATTGATATCCATTTTAAGAAAAAAACGTATTTATTATTATTAATTAATTTTTTATGTCTTCTAATATTCTTACGGGAAGAGTAATTTTTAATTAATAAATCAAGATTAATTAATTAATCAAACGGTAATTTTAATCAATAAAAACCGTAATTTTAATAAATCAAAACGATTTCGCGAAACAATTTTATTCTTTTTTTTTATTTATTAAAATTATACAGTTTTAATGCTCTCAAAATATAAAAACTGAAAAAAAATAAAAATGCTAAATTAAATAATGTAAATTATTTTCTGATTAAGACGAAGATAAGATCTTATTTCTTGAATATTTTATCTTGGCATATCATGTTTATATTAAATTTGAAAAATATATTTTAATTTCAAAACAACGAAAATTGTTCTATGTATCTTCGTATCTTCGCAAGCAATTTCTTTAACTTATAACTAATTAATTATCGCATAGAACAAATATCATTGATATAATCATTATTCCATAATATTTATTAACTTCTCATAAATATGTATAAATCTTACTATGGTCCCTGTGTTTAACAATAGTAAATAAGTAAAAAATATATAAAATATACACATGTAAATATCTATTTATATAAATTCGTATATATAACATATATATAATAAATATATTAACTACATATACATATAATTATAGTCATGGTATAGTCATGGTATCATTCTAGCATCGTAACAATAAATTTATTTTTTAAACAATAAGAACGTTAAAAA